TCTGGAGTTGATTCCAGTTGTGGCATTTGCATTTGGAAGCTGTTGCTGTGAACCCACAACATGCGGTCAAAGGCGCTCTCAATGGAAGTGAAACAGAGAGAAACCTTAGGCTGCAAAAAAAGAAGAGATCCATCAGAGAGATAGCGGAAATGTTAGGAGTGGCCAAATCAACAGTTTGGTACATCCTGAGAAAAAAAGAGCGCACTGGTGAGCTCAGGAACTCAAAAAAGCCTGGACGTCCACAGAAAACAACAGTGGTGGATGATCGCAGGATCCTTTCTATGGTGAAGAAAAACCCCTTCACAACATCCACCCAAGTGAAGAACACTCTCCAGGAAGTAGGTGTATCAGTATCTAAGTCTACGATAAAGAGAAGACTTCATGAGAGCAAATACAGAGAGTTCACCACAAGGTGCAAACCATTAATCAGCCTCAAAAGTAGAAAGGCCAGATTAGATTTTGCTAAAAAAACATCTAAAGGAGCCAGCCCAGTTCTGGAATAGCGTTCTTTGGACAGATGAAACTAAGACCAACCTGTACCAGAATGATGGGAAGAAGAAAGTATGGAGAAGGCTTGGAACGGCTCATGATCCAAAGCACACCACATCTTCTGTAAGTTTTTTAAAGCAAAGAAGTGGAATATTCTGCAATGGCCGAGTCAATCACCAGACCTCAACCCGATCGAGCATGCATTTCATTTGCTTAAGACAAAAGTTAAAGCAGAAAGACCCACAAACAAGCAACAACTGAAGACAGCTGCAATAAAGGCCTGGCACAGCATCACAAAGTAGGAAACCCAGCGTTTGGTAATATTCATGGTTTCCAGACTTCAGGCAGTCGTTGCCTGCAAAGGATTCTCAACAAAGTATTAAAATGAAAATTTTATTTATGGTAATGTTAATTTGTCCAATTATTTTTGAGCCCTTGAAATGAGGAGACTTTGTTTAAAAATGGTTGCAATTTCTAAACGTTTGATAGGATATTTTTGTTCAACCCCTTGAATTAAACCTGAAAGTCTGCACTTCAATTGCATCTCAGTTGTTTAATTTCAAATCCAATGTGGTGGCATGCGAGGCCAAATCATGAAAATGGTGTCACTGTCCAAATATTTCTGGGCCTAACTGTAGATGCTGGCTCTCTAACCTCTTTCAAAAACAGTGTTGTTTGTTGCTGCTTGTGTTGTATCCCGCCATTTCTGCTGGTTATTGTACCTCACATTGATAAATCCATGGCACTGTCAGTGGTGTTCACTGTAATCTACATTCCCCTTCCTTCCTCCCTTCTGTCTCAGGACACCGTCAGGGCCTATCATAAAAAAATAAAAAAATAAAAGTCAACAGTTCTACTTTTACATCTGCCTGCCAACTGATATTATTCTGGTTGGGAAAGCGCTCACTACTGGCGGTGTCATTTTTGCTTGTAATGTATTTTTGCTGCTATTGCTCAACCCAGATAATTTAGTTATATTCTTCATTACAGTGGCAAACTACCAGTTATACATTTAAACTTATACTAAAATGAATGTCATGTGTTGCATCGGATCGGTCTAGACCTGCTCTATTTGAAAAGTGTCCTGAGATAACTTCTGTCATGAATTGGCACTATACAAATAAAACTGAATTGAATTAAGAGGGTGTACAGGAACCCCCAGTAAAAACATGGTAATTTCCACCACTGCACCCAGTGCATGCTGGGAAGAGTTCTAGCATCATGGAACCCTCAATAAGACAAATAAAGATGTTACACCACCTTTTGGAATTAAAAAAAAGTAAACTGAGCTGACCCCTTCTCATGATTAAATACGACTGACTTTCAGCCGCTGTGGGTTTCGGTGCTGTCGCATATGGGATCAGTTTACTAATTATTCCTCTCATTATTTCCTCATAAATGAGGCACAGTGAGCAGTGCACCCAGGTAGTGTTTGGACTCATTTGTCCAGTTAAGGACTTCAGTCTCTCCTGCATGTTTGATTAGTTTGGACAAGCCAGCAAAGAGCAGCTCCAGTGCTGCGTGCAAGCCAAGTCTGTGTCACGCTGAAAAGTTTTCTTAATTATTTTTAAATGTCACATCTGATTTCACTTACACAAAGGGTGGAAAGAAAACAATTTTTATTTTGCAAAGTCCTTAAGCTTTTGTGCTGACACATAATTAACAAGGAATCTGTGATTTCCTTCCAATTTGTCTCAAGATTTTGAAGACTTACAACGAGCAGATTTACATTATAGCCTCAGAATTTAAAGTTGCACAAAATAACTTTCTCTCATATTCTCTGAAACTTTCACTATATCCTGACAGTAGTACGCGAGACAGATAATCTGTGGAAAAAATCAGGTTCTGAACAAAAACAACCAATCAGAGTCGAGAAAGATATAAAGACACTTTTGGTTGGATGCCAAAGAAGATGGTTGATTGTTGAGCCTCATTCCCAGGGTCCCAAAGTGTCCGCATTAAACTCCCTATGAATGAAACTCAACGTTGAACTATCTTTCTTGGTTCTGATTGGTTGTTTTCATTCAGACATGGTGGATTCTTGCAAATACCATTAGGAGCACTAGGAGGAGTCAGAGGAACCTGATTGTTTCACAGATTATCTGTCTCATGTACTACTGTCAGGATATAGTTTTTCTATACTGCAGCTTTAAGTTAAAATAAAAGGACATATAAAACTCATGGAACAGCCAGAATGCTTTCTTTCTGAGAGCAAAATCAGAAGACATCATGTTTGTGTGTTGAGTACTGAGCTGGAATCAGGACCTGATTAGCTTAGACATAAAGACTGGAAACATGGGGAAACAGTTAGCTTTTGTAGTAGTTTTGTAGAAAATGTGTAGTCTTGTGCTGCTGCCACCAAGGGCTGTTAAAGCACAACGTGTATCTCTGCATAAAGCCTTGGTGTCTCCAGTGGGAGCTGTGAAGTCTGATAAATGCCCTCAAGTGACGTCACTTGAGTCAGTGTCGGTTGTGGCTGGAGAAGTTTATTAGTTTGTGTGAAGTTAGAAAGAAGTGAGCTTACCTGACCTCCGCAGCCTGCTGCTCATCTCTGCTGCTGGCTAGCAGCTCATGGCTACATTACCCGCTATAAACATATACTGTAAAACCAGATTTCAAATTTTTAGGTAAACCAAACTCCATTTTGTAAGTAAAAAAAAAAAAAACATTCTTGATCAAGTAGCTTTAGTAATTTTAATTGACACTGACTTAATTTTGTCATTTTTATTTGTACTGTGAAAACAAAATACACAGTAAGAAGCTCTTAATCAGGAATGTTTCTCCTTTTTTAAATTACAGAATTGAGTTTGTTTTCCTTAAAAGAAATTATGTATTCAGAGTTAAATTAACTTATATGGTTTTACAGTGTAGCATACCTGAATATCCTGAACTGTCTGTGATCAGGTTGTATTGTGGGTAATAAAGATCGGTATGCGTTAGTTTTTTATAGTGCGTATGTCATATAAAGCACCCACAAAGTGAGTCTACAACAAGACGGCATCTATCCATTGTACTGTAACTGACTACTGAAACTACAGTGGATTTCTGGTTAATGAAGTCCAATAAATACTTTCTTTTTATAAAGTGCAACATTGGTTAATTCCATGTGTATGAGTCATATGAGTGTGTATGTCTATCTGAAGTGCAGCTTCCGGTTTGCCATCTAGTTTATAATAAGTTGGAGATGGTGTTGTCCCCATAAATCTGCCTGGACACCAGTGGTGTGCCCTCTACAGTGGTGAGGACGCGGCTATATGTGCCCTTTTTTTTTCTTTCCGCCCCTGCCAAAAGGTCTGTGCACGCCACTGCTGGACACACACACACACACACACACACACACACACACACACACACACACACACACACACACACACTGCAGATGTCCATCCCATATCACTCCTCTGTCTGGGATCAACCTGAACATTTACCTGTGAAAGAAATGGCTCGTCATTGTTTAGGGTGTGGTTACTGATGCCATTCCTTCACAGAGGAGACCTTCCCAAGAATGAGTCTGTTGAGTGATAAATACAGGCGCTGACTTTAAGTTATATAGGTTCCATATATCAGAATAACAGAGGCCATGGCTGGAGGCTGGTGGTGGTGTTATAGTGCCATCTAGTGGTTATAGAAACTGTTATGGTTCAACAATGGCTGAAGAGGAAGTTTAAGATTGTACTCACAAACCTTCTCTGTCTGGACCCATGGGTGAATGAGATTTGTGTCCTTTAAATGGTGTTCTTTAATGAATTTTGGTCCATGAGCACATCTTAAAGCTGCAGAAGACCCACCCAGCCTGAACGAAAACAACCAATCAGAGCCATGGAATGTAGTTGATTGTTGAGTCTCATTCCCAGGATGTCAAATACAGAGGCTTTGGGATCCTGGGAATGACACTCAGCTATCTTCAAGCCTCCAACCCAAAGCATCTTCATATCTTTCTTGGCTCTGATTGGTTGTTTTCGTCCAGGCCCGGTGGATTCGTGCAAATGCAGATTCACAGATTATTAATCTCATGTTCTACTGTCAGGATATAATGATTTCAGCAAATGTGAAAAGTGCAGCTTTAAATTCTCAACCTAGCCAGGACGTAGTGAAAGTTTCAGAACATATGACAGTTATTTTTATAAGTTACCTACTGCAGCTTTAAAATCTGTATACAAAACTCTTTTCAGTTGATATCAAATAGAACTTCTTAGTAAAATTATCCAATTATTCAGGTTATATTTAACCGATAAAAGTTCCTTAACACTGGATGATAGAGTTTTATATTTAAGCACTATACCCAGAATTTCTAATCTCTAATCTTTGATTAAAGCATCTTTTGATTGCCGTTAATACTTTAACTACTGCATTTCTAAATGCTGTTTCAATAAACAGATCAATAAATCACTAATTTAACATATTGAAAATGCAACTATATCCCTACACTGTTCATGGTACAGTTTGTTTACTCTTAAAACCAGAATGCAGTCAAACTGCCTTCATGCAATAAGCCATCCATACACAATATGGAAAATGTTCTGACCGTGCCAGTCCAGTCTTTATTCAGGAATCCAAAAGTTACTACACGGTTCCCCCCCAGTTCATTTCAGTCCACTGGTAAACTGATATAAAACATGCTTTGCAAACCATGCAACTACATGAGGCTGAAACTGATGGTTAACATGCTTAAGTTAGTTCTAAGCATGCCATGACTCCTAAGCTGTGGTTGTCATTTAGGTTTTTGTGGACCCAAGGTGGGATTCATTCCAACCATTAAAGCCAAACACATGTACGCCACACTGGAGTAATCAACTGAATACTTACAGCGTAGAAATGAAACAGCAAACAAGGCCCATGAAAACGTATGAACTGAAAGAACAAACTGCAAACGCCCGATAAGAGCTTTATTAAAACACCACTTTTAAACATAGAACGCCACAAAAGCAAGTTTCAACACAAAAACTGCAGCACCAGGAAAAAAAAAATAAAATAAAATAACACAAAATGAGCTTCTCTGAAGCCACTTTTAAAAAAATACCCCAGGTGAGTAGATGCAAGCTCAATACAAATCAATCCTAAAAGGTGTTCTAATCTAAAGACATTTAAACACTTCTTGATGCAGACTTCAGAGCACTTCAGGTTATACAGTCTTCTGCTGGCCCTTCTTTCCAATCAGAGACTTGTGGATGTGAGGGATCACACCTGGGAAACAAAGGACAGTGGATGAGCCGTGAAGTCACAACAAAAACAAAACACTTGCCGTTTAAGTTGGTCAACAATATGAACATTTTTTATTGCAGGTTAATTGTGATCAAGTAAACTGTATGGCTCTAATGGTAAAATAAGTGTGTGCGGTTAGTGTTGTCACCTTGGCCTCAGGGATGCCATTTGCCAGTTTCTCATTGATTATTTGAAAATCAACTGATCTGTTATTTACAACATTCATGCAAACAGTTTCCTTACCTCCACCAGCAATAGTCGCTTTGATAAGTGAATCCAGCTCTTCATCTCCTCTAATGGCCAGCTGCAAGTGGCGTGGGGTAATACGCTTCACCTTAAGATCCTTTGATGCATTTCCTGCCAACTCCAGTACCTGAAAGAGGGCCAAGCTTTTACACATTTACATAGGCCACAATACAGGGACTATATGTAGGGACAAGGTGCGAGATAAATGGACTAACCTCAGCCGTGAGGTACTCCAAAATAGCCGCGCTGTACACCGCTGCAGTGGCTCCCACTCTGCCGTGGCTGGTGGTTCTGGACTTAAGGTGTCTGTGGATACGACCCACCGGGAACTGAAGCGACAACAGAGAGACGACATTAGCGCGGATGAATAACGGGGTTCAGTGGCCTGTCGGTGAGAGACGGCGGCCAGCTGTGTAACCTCTGCTACGGCTGCTTGTTAGCTTGCGTTAGCACAGCCGAGTAAATGAATGAATCTCAATGGGACGAACCTGCAGCCCTGCTCTCTGCGAGCGCGAAATGGCTTTCGTCTTGGTCTTCCCGGAGTCTTTACCTGCCTTACCACCAGCCTGGAAAACACCAATACTGTTAATGAGTTTGCAGCCGCCATGTTGTGTATCACTGCGAAATAACATTGATTAAGGGTGGGCAATTTAACCGCCTATTTTAGCATTGTTACCATTCTCTCGCAGCCAATAACGGTTAGCTAGTCTGCTATGCTACTACAACAGCTACCGCTAGCGGCTAACAGTTAGCCGATAACTGAAACGCACTGGTTGCTACATTTATTGCCAACGAACCACTATCATACACGGTTTATCGTTCTTATATGCCGCTAAGACGACATGACATACATACCATATTTAAAATACACAAATAATTTCTGACGCTGCAGCACAGAAAGGAGTTTCTTATCGCCTAGTACCGACTCTTGGTTTGAACTACAACCCCCGCCTCCAATTGTCCGTAATATATAGCCAATGTCTATCCGGGTAACAGCAGGTAGAGCACCAGCCAATCATATTTCGTCATGCGTTTCCTGCCTCGGCGTTCGGCCAATGAATGAGAACAGAACTCACTTTGCGGGAAAAGTGGTACATTTCCGTTCAAAGTAATGATGGGTAATGTAGTTCCGACATTTAGATGGTGAATTCCTATTGTCTCATTCTCTTATAAAAGAACAAGATAGTATTAGATAAGTTAGTTAGTAGTAGTAGTTTTCTAACAATATTCCTTTATTTAATTTGGATTGGAAAAATAAATAGAATCTGAAGTTTTGAATCATCAGGTCAAATTATTATGTTGACTGAGAATATGGGCAAAATTTGTTTGTTTGGAAAGCTTCCATTTATTATTATACTGTAGGAACCATGACTGGAAAAATGCTCACTGAACAATCTAAATGACACAGTGGACTGTCAACATGTGGTCCATTTTATTTAATTCAATTTCAATTTCAATTCAGTTTTATTTGTATAGCGCCAATTCATAACAGAAGTTATCTCAGGACACTTTTCAAATAGAGCAGGTCCTTATAATTATCCCACTAGTATCAAAGTATCCCACTTTTGACTATGACTAAAAATTAAGTTTCCTTGTCAAATACGCAATGTCCTTACCAGAAATGTATTTGCATATGTACACATGATTTCCTGCGTTTGGTTTCAGGGGGGTGCTTTTCCTGTTTTGCGAAATCTTCTATTTAAAACTTTGTTTGCCGAAGGCTAAAAGAAGTAATTTGATGTACTGCTGTCACATCATTATAGTACCTGTTTACTCTTATACCGTCTGCAAACCTTCCTCTTTTTACAGGGTCATGCTCCATCCATCCATCCATCCATCCATCAATCCATCAATCCATCAATCCATCCATTCATTCATTCATTCATTCTCTTAACTGAAGACAGGAAGGTGTTCCTGACTACATTAACTGTGGTTTCACAGTTTATTATTGTGTTGTAGTTTCTTACTCTGGCCACATGGGGGCAATGAATGCTCATGATTCTACATGCAGACTTCGCTCTAAATAAACTCAATCAACCGCCATCAACCCTACTCCTTACTTATAATCACAAGTTATAGAGATAAATGTCATGTTTTTGATGCAGAAAATGTCATTGTTGCTACAGAAGTCTAGTTTCATTAAGACATTTTAATAATTTTATCAGTAGTGCTTAAGATATTAGCCTTTTATTTGTACTGTAGCTCCATAGTCATTGCAATCTTGTGCTCAAATAAAAAACATCTAATGAATAATGGAACCTCGTATAGTAATGCCGAACAATCAAAAAGAATAGGTCCTATTTCCAGAGTTGCAGGGCTGGACAAAGCTCTTTTGTGGCCCCAAGCAGAATCTTTTGGGGGGGCTCCTTGGAGATACCATGTTTAATATGTTTAAAACCCCCAAATCAATACTAAATTGTTGGAATAATGCAAACTCAACACTTCCTTCATCTATTTCTTTAAGAATAAGAATTAAAGGGCTAAGTGTTGGTATATTTATTGCACACGGCTCTATTGCACTGCAAGATTTAGTATTCAGCAGCTTGATGGAGGCACAGTGACTGGCAGAGTCATGAAACCAGAGAGATTTTCGTCTCCTTTTAATCCTGTTACTGCAGTGTTAATGTATAACAGGCTCCAGTCAGGGTGTGTGTGTTTCGGGACTTGATAAGACAATCTGTGTGTGTGTGTGTGTGTGTTTCTGGGACAACGTGCACAGCTGGTGGTGGGCTGGTCACGTCTAACTCTCATACCATTCATTCCGAGGCAAACTCCCCTTTCAGCACTCACTCACTCTCTCCCCTGACCTCTACCTCGTTCGCTCATTCTCCTCCCCTTCTTTCCCTCAGTCACTGTCAATCACCTCCCCCAGTCTCCCCTGCCTCTGTCACTGAGCCGTCTATTTCTGAAAGTTTTGAAGACTCTTTCTCCATGTGTCCTTCGCCATCCGTCCATCTGTCTCAGCTCGCACCCTGAGTTCCTCCACTTGTAGCCTTTCTTCCTGTAGGTCAGAGACGACTGAGAGCTTTCTACAGGAAGTTTGTCATTGGTCGAAAGTTTCATTTTGGAGAAAAAACTCTGGTGTGAGTGAACCAGGAAGCAAAAGTGACACACCCGCTGCAGAAATGAAACACCCACTGGTATTCTGACATATGGCTGGCAAATCTTATTAAATATGATATAAGTTGTAATTCTTCTTCTTGACCTCAGTGTTGGATTTGATAAAGTGGATCAAGAAATATTGTTGGATAGAAAGGAAAATTTGTTGGGACTAATCATATTTACGGGAACTTTTTTGAGTCCACAAAACTTAATATGGGGTTCCACAGGGTTCAATTCTTTATCTTATTTTATTTAACAATAAAAAATATAAAGGTCCAGCATTTAACATTGAGGAGGATCTATAATCACCTGAAAATAAGAATCGTTGTGTTTTTGTTACCTTAGAATGAGCTGATTTATCTACAGAGGGAGCAGGTCCACCATGTTTTACTGCCATGTTTCTACAGTAGCCCAGAACAGACAAGCCAAACACTGGCTGTAGATAGGGCCAACTAAATCCTATACACACTGCACCTTTAATATCATATTTATGCAGAGGATACCCAACTTTACATATGACTGGATGTCCCAGAACTTTCAGGAAATCCTCGTCCCAGTGTTAAACTGAGATTTAAGTTGAGCTCAGAGAGACTTTCCCCCTACAGCAGATGGGTGTGAATATGGGAACAATAAGCAAAACATGTTTTTTGAGCGGAGGGACACTTGATGTCATATTGAAGATTGCCTTTTTTGCTTTTCTCTTAAAGTGCTGATCTCGTACAAAAACTCAACTTCTCCACAAGTTGTTTTTTCAAACCACTCCCCCCACACTGCTCCTCTACACTTGCAAATCAGGTGAGTTTTACTTACTCTGTAAGACAACATAACAATTTAACCTTAGGAAGGAAAAAGGAGAATCCAAGATGTTCTGCATCAAAAATATGTCCTCTGCTCAGAGTATATGTTAGACAAACTTGCTTTTCATGAAGCAAATTGAAGCAGTAGCCTACAGATGATTTTCACAGCTGGAGGGCAGAATTTGCACTGTTCTGTGATGTTGCTCTCTGTTACCTTTTCTGCAAAATAATGGTTTCCACCCATTGAGGCCATGATAATGAATTGGTAACTGTAAGATTAGCTACAGTTTAACTCAAGACCAGAGGTGCTGTAATGTGCACACTGCACATGTGCATGCTAATATGTTGTTCTTTATTTTAAAAATAATTTTAAAATTGCAGTCCTGCTAATCCCATTTTGCTTAATGTGACTGTCATCTGATTATGTCTTTTTTCTGTAACTGTAATGTATTACAATTACCTTTTTTTGTATCCTGATTACATAACTAACTCCCCAAGCCTGGTTCTGCATTGTCTCACCTGTTATATGTTGTTTCACTTAATAATACTTTTTTTTTAGCTGGTCAAATGTTAGGCCTGACTTCTGCCACCCGTTAGACACACTCCTGCATCGGTCTAAATCAACCACTCTACATGTTCCTGTTATACATTTATAGGAAGTACACTTCAGTTTGAATATTATATTATGCATTTAATGCTAATGACAGCTCGTAATGCAGTTGTTGGAAGAGTTGAACAGAAGTAACAGGAAACCAACAATGTCTATGACCCACTTGGGAGGACGGGAGAGGAAGAGATGGAGTGCTCGGAGGAAGACAGGATGGACAAGGAGCGTGAGAAAGTGTGATGTCACTCCGCCTGCTGGGACCCAAATAGAAACAAAAAGAAAACAGAAAAAAAAAGTTTGGTGGGAAAAGTCTCCAGAGCTGTACAACTGGAGACTGGTTTACTGGGTCACTGGTTGGCAAAGACCTCAGAAATAATTTTGGTTCTTTAATAAACACATGATGTGATCAGTTGAATTGAATAATATATGAGGTGGGAAGGCATTTTAGGACAACATAGGCCATTTATTGTAATTTATTGTAAATTTAAGTTAATATGAAAACCAACCCAGATAGACATTCTGGTTATAAACATGACATCATTCCAAAAGCATGTGGGTCAATGAAGAGCGTGAGTATTCACACTCATTAGCAGGAGTTTATGTCGCTGCTTCTTTTATTGCCAGCTCATGTTAGACAGGATGATGTGTGTGTGTGTGTGTGTGTGTGTGTGTGTGTGTGTTTCAGGTCATCGCCTGACCTCTTGTCTCCTCCTGTGTGTTTGTATTAAAACAAGATTATCCACATGGGGAGGTTGGATCTCTGAAGCTGCAAAAGACTCATCATAGAGAAAAGATAACAATGTAAAGGCCCCACATGATGTTCACTACACCCTACAGTACTGAAGTGTTGGATGGAAAGAACTGCAAAGGAAAGCTTCGCCATTCTTAAAGCCTTACCAGAAGTATGGTCATGCAGTCATTCAAATTGTTTCTTAAGAAATACTGCCCTCTTAAAGAGACTGCTTCTTTCAGACATGAGGCGCTTCATGAAGGGCCACTATGAGATAAATAAGGGTGTTTTTGTAAATCATGAAAATCTGCTAGAGTCTGGGACTAAGAGGATATAGCTGGAAATAAGCAGAATAGGTCGCCTCTATAAGTGACCCATGATATGGTTGAGTGATTGAAATTTCAATATGTCTTGACCACTATGACAGAAAAGCCCATGCACTTTGCTGCAAACATATTTTCTTCAGAATTCATCGCAGTATTGTCATTTATGGCAAAAATATATGCACTGATTGATTTGTCAATTCAGTTCCTGCATGTAAATTCAATTTAAGATTTTTTAAGACCTTTTCAAGACCATTATAAATGCAATTTAAGACATGCAGCATGCATGTAATGTTAATTTCACTAATTCAATCAATTTTTAAGACTTGTCAAAATCAGTTAAAGACATTATAAGGCCTAAAATTTGGATTATTTAAGACCCTATGGACATGGTGTTAATTATTAATTTATGTGATTAATATGCATCATATGTTAACATGACATAAAGCAGAGAACCTTTCATTCATGGGGCCTATATTGCTCCTCCCTATACTTCCATATGATGATAAAAAACAAAGGAAAACTCGGGGGGGGTATTATGCTTTTATTATAATCTCATAGAAATACAGCAGAATGAGGTAACCAGTGACTCTTAATGGATTTTTACAAGAGCATGCAGTGAAAGTTCAACCCCCCCCCCACACACAGACTTTCCTGGTTGCAGCTGGGCGACTAGTCCAGGACAGGATTTTGACAGATGGTCCAATGGGACGCTGGAGTAAGGAGGGAGGGAGGACACAAGGGCTAAAGAGAAGGATGGATGGAGGATGGAGAGGAGGGGACAATGCTAATGGATGCAGAAGTGTGTGTGTGTGTGTGTGTGTGTGTGTGTGTGTGTGTGTGCAGGAGGGGAGTCATCTGTTCCTCAAAGAATGGAAGAATAAAGGCTATAAACCTCACGGGAGGCGAGGGGGGACCATGCAGTCCTGCTGATGCTGCATTTGCACTTATGTGAATGTTTAAATGAGTGTGTGTTTTCACACACACACACACACACACACACACACACACTGCACATACACTGCACATACACTACTGTACTACTACTAATGTTTTCTCAGAATAAGAAGTCAAAATGACTTAAAGTGAGCTTTTTTAAATGGGCCATTAATTGGATCACCTGGCTGCTACCTGCACACAGCTTTCTGATTGGTTTATAATTTAATTGTGTGACCAGAGGCCACGCCCCCGCCGGTGTCAGTCAAAAATACTCACGCTGTGACCACGCCCACCACCCATCCTAGCGCCCCCCCAAAAAAAAAAAAGCCAGGTGGACAGAAAAACTGTGCCGCAGACTTCCGGTTGTAACTTTCAAAATAAAATTTATATTAGAGGACAATGCCGTGAGGAGAGAGTAAGGAAACACATTCTGAGTGGATTATGTTTATTGAACATACAGTTTAAAGGTTTTTTGACATCAGATTGCAACTACTTCCATCAAACATCAGTGCTGTCTGTCTAAAATATCAAACTGTACTGATACTTTTCTACATTTCCAGCACAACCACATTGCTTTCGTGTATATTTTCTACATTTTCATCATTGTTGTTGTATTTAAAGGATCATACACGTGGTTTGGCATGTTTTAGTCCATTAAATGACAATGTGTCAATTGAAGGAGCAGCCTTGCTGTAATTATTCCTCCTGTCCATACTGGCTGTGAACAGCGGTGGAAGAAGTTCTCGGACCATTTACTTAAATAAAAGTAGCATTCAAATTTTACTTAGGTAAAAGTACAAAAGTATTAGCATCAAAATATACTTAAAGTACCAAAAGTAAAAGTAAGTATAGATGCATTATTGTGCTCATTACTTCGTATACTGCTGTGCTACTCTACAATGATATATCATATATTTGTTGCTAATATTTTGTATTAATAATGTGAAAAGTAAAAATATTTCCCTCTGAAATGTAGTGGAGTGGGGTATGAACATAAAATTTACCTCAAATACCTCAAAATTGTACTATACAGTAAAAGTAGAGTACTTGGTTAGTTTACAACTAGCTGTGAAGAGATCCCTTCCCTGATGTTTAGCTATTGGGTTACAATATGAAAAATCTAATGTTACAATATACTATATTATACTATATTTTTTGCTCTGCCTAAAAGCGAGCCATGCAACTGTAGTCATAGAGGATACGAGGATAGTGTGAAGAAAGCCGGGATGCTTTATTGTTTTCAGGAAGTGGTAGATTTTGTGTTTTTATTTTGAAGGAGAGACAACAGTCTTCCTGCGATCTCGTTGCGAAATTGTGCGAGCTTGTCGCAACTTCCTGAAAGATTGACAGCTTACGCCGCTCTCTTTCGGTAGTGGAAACGATAGCTCCCGTTGTGTGAGGGACGCATTCACAACTCACATCGCCAACTGCTTTTGCTCGGATTTAATTTCGTACTTTTAACGAAAGTTTGCAAGAAGGGCACTCAGTTTGGACTTCACAAGACTGTACGGGGTATGAAAGTGGAGCGGACGCCTCAAACAAAGTAAAAGAGGAGGTAGACCTGTACGTTTGATGGCTGCTGGGGATGGAGCCCAGCTGCCGGCCACAGTAGCGGCCAGTCGGAGCGTGGAGAAAGCACTCGAGGAGGCTGCCGCGAGCGGGGCTCTTAACTTGTCCAACCGAAAATTGAAGGAGTTTCCCCGGAGCGCCAGGAACTACGACCTGTCCGACATTACTCATGCAGGTCAGTTTGCTTTTTCACTGCTTTCCTTGAACTTACAAAGCAGCTCGAGCGTGCGAGCTAGCAGTTATCACGAGAACCGCCTTTTGTTTTATCGCCACCTGCTTCTTTCTTCTAACGGGGAAGGCACATCTTTCCTCCACCCCGACACGTTTCACAAGACTCTGTTCAAATAACTCCGCAGTATGATGTCCCGCTGACTGTCAAAACTGTACCCCCTTTCATATTATGAATTTTAAGGCTTATTTCAAATCACCAGCTCATGCCTCCGACTTCGGCTCATGTATATTTCACCAAACTGCTGTTTACTCGATAAGAATTTAAAAAACTGGCACGTTGCGTTTAGTTTTGCGCTCTGTTGCCGTTAGCATGCAACGTGCTCCACAATCGAATGTTTTTAGTCCCTGCATGATGGACTAGCTACATGAAAGTTCAGGTTTATTATTTTTCTGCTCTCTTTAAGTGAAGCCACATGAAGTTCTAGCCTTTTAAACAGAAGATTACCGTGTTGTTGTCTTAAAGTGGAATTAAAAGGAAAAAAAGCAAGTTCCTCTTCCTCAACATATCCTCTTGTAAGCGGCCTTCTACATTGCCATTCACTGGGTTTCGTGTTGTTCATAACTTTACTTTGGCTTTAACAGTGGCTTTGGTAGTAGTGTTTTCTCTTTTGAGTGATGGAGCCTTTTACTCCCCATCCTCCTGGACTCTCTCTGAATGTGTGTCACTTTACCTCATTGAGCTAAGTTTCACAGGACATTGTAGAAGGCTATTGCAGGCAACAACAGAGAGTAAAACCTGACAGTGAAGTAGGTGTGGGTGACACTGTGGATTAAAGGGAACTACCTTGGCCTCGCCTTGTTGAAAAGAGGATTACCCCATCCAGGTTGCTGAAATCAATCTGGCTACACAGCAATTTAAAGCAACACCCCCCCCCCAGTCCTCTGCTGCTGCTTTCTGTGCTTTGGTAATTATGACCATCTGCTCATAACAATCCAGGTCTAGGCCCTGTGGGATGAGGAGGAAGCCTTGAACACACACACACACACACACACACACACTCAGGCACCTGCCACTGGAGCAACCCAAGCCTAATGACTGGGTTAGTGATGAATATATCCCATACCTACTGGCCACTTGTCCACAACCCAAAGATATTCAGTTTACTCTCATAGAGGACTAAAGAAAGCAAAAAATATTCACATTTGAGAAACTAAAATCGGACAATTGGGACTTTTTCTTTCTTACAAAATCACTGAAAACAATGAACTGATAAAAAAGTAGTTGGTAATTTAATAGTTGACAACTAATGGACTAATTGCTGTAGCTCTAGTTTACTCAGTGAGTCAGCCTGTGAAAGCCATTGCATAATCTCTGATGTGGCTCTAAAGGAGCTTTATCAAGTGTGACAAAATAACCTAGATGATGTCATAGTGATGTCATCTGAGTTTTCTGGTATTATGCATACTGGCACCTACTGTTGTACTTGTATGGAACAGAGCCTTTATTAGCATTATTAGTTCAACCTGCTGTGCTTCCTAGGGCTGTCTATAGATATTTTCCATGGCAGGCATTATTACATGTCATAGCAGGTGTTATTAATTCCATTAATTGAGGGAGGCCGGATTTCCCTGTAGGTGTTCCAGTTGTACTCTGGGTACCAAATGAAAAGGTCGGTGGCACCAAGTATCTGAGTTCATTGTCAAGTAATTATTATTCTTATTTTTGAATAATCAGTTAATTGTTGAGCAGCGGAGATGGACAACAGGCAATGTCATCCCCTCCTTTGCTAATGTTAGCAGTGTTAGAGACATGCTTCCATTAAACTTTGTGGAAGGAGGAGGCTTCTGTGAGCTGATGGCGTTTGGTGAGTCGGAGGACAAGCTAGCAACAACAACAAAGAGCTACAAATGAACTGCAGAGGAACAAATAAACCACAGGCCAAAGTATTGCAATATTACAACATCTTAATGTCTGTCGTTAGTTAGGCTTTTTATTTTGGACACTATTTTTTAAATATTTTTTTGCGAGCACTCAATAATAATGCAAGTAAGCGAATATGTCAATTATTGAATGCCTATCCATAAGAAACAACATTTAATATTTGACAACTTTAGCTTCTTTTGCCAAATGTAAGAAAGGATTTTATATTTTAAAAAGAAGATTATATTCCTCAAAGCAAGGTACGTAAGTATGTTTTGGTATTGATGCTGAAACTTTTGCATTGGATCCAAAAAACCTCAAGCAAAACCCAGGGCTAGATTTTTGTGTCAAGTCAAAATAGTGAATATCAGGAAATGTAATAAATTCCAGAGGAGTGTCATAATTGGAAGTATCACTCAATACATTTCCAAATAGGATGTGTTCAGTTCAATTTTATTTGTATAGCGCCAATTCATAACAGAAGTTATCACAGGACACTTTTCAAATAGAGCAGGTCTAGACCGAACTCCTCCTGTTCATCATCATTTCAGTGGGCTTTACCTCCACATTGAACCAGGCAGCTGCTGACCTCACTGCCATCCACACCATCCACACTGGCTCATGGTGACTCATTTGTTATTCATTCAGCTCTAATTCAAGGGTCGTGCTCTTCTATAGGCCGGATTGTAGACACTTAGTCTTGAATACATGTTTTTGCAGCACCTAGGCTATCTTTGTGGTAATGTCTCGTATCTGAGTAATGAGGTGCTCTCAGTTTCACTGAAATACCTGGTAGTTATCTCAGGCAGACACTATATCAGCTCTGATGTACAGGGAACCTGTCTGAGAGTCCTGCCCCTGCACCGTCTGTGTGTGTGTGTGGGTGGGTGTGTGTGGGTGTGTGGGTGGGTGGGTGGGTGGGTGTTGCAGGTGGCGACAGTCCTCTCTGATTCACCGAACTGTCATGATTGTTGTCAGGTATGGTCTCGCCATAGATCTCCCCCTGTTAAGTGAAGGAGGGAAGATACTTGAGCGGGATCTGATGCATTACAAGCACATTGTAAGTTCCTTAGAAGCATAAATAAGCTTTTCTTTGGATGGACTGGATTCAGTTTGATATTCATATACAGTTGCCTTTTAGTGCTAATGAACATCCAGCTCATACCCACCAAGCTTTTGCTAGTTAACGTGAAATAACAAAAGGACAAGAGAACATTTTGCATTAAGGTTTCAAGAAAAACTCTGTGATCTGTGGTACATGGCATCATCTTAGAACATAGCAGCCAGACATAAATCAAGGTTTAATGATGAGCTTTATGTATATAGCATTGTTTAATGGTTTGCTTTTACACTGGTGGAACCTCTAGCCTTGCCTCTTTCTGTGTCCGCCCCCCCCAAAAAAAAACAACCCACAACTATAGTTTTGGATTTTTCCACGATTCTGTTTTCACAATTGCAGGTGAGCCGCGTGTGTGTTGACGTAGCCCAGTGAAATGTTTGAAACCAATGTGGTACCGAATGCTTTGCCTGGTCTGTGCTTGTAAAATATCCACCGTGTCCGGGTCTTTTAATGAATACCAGATAACGTCTCTCTCTGTGGTCGGGCACAGGTACCTGGGCGGCCTAACCGAGTGGAGTCTGTGTGGAAAACACTGTGGGATCATCAGGTGTCTTAAGCAATGGAATATTTCATGAGATCTTCAGATGTGTTGCGTTGTTTGACCAAACAGTACAGAACCCATCAAACTCTTGCATTTACTGGACAATAAACCCCATTTGTCAAATGATCAATATTATGAATCTTTTTAAAAGTACATATGGTAATCTTAAATACACAATAATATATAATTATACTGAGAGTAGCTACACTTGCCAATGTAAGCTAACCAGAAGTTGAACCAAGCAGTCATCCCAAAGTTCACTGGTCATACAGTCAGTAATTAGGAGTTTGAAGTGGGCGGTTGCATGAGTGAAGACGCAGCTGTGGGCAGGATATCAGTGGAGCTATGTTGTGATAAAAAGAGATGAATAAGGTGGTTGAACTGGGATAAGAAGACTGGGCTGTGGAAGCCCAGCAGTGTTTATGATAACATCAGCCCCCCTTCTGCCCCACTGGAGCAGCTTCCCTCAGGAAGGTCAAAGGTTCACACACACACACACACACACACACACACACACACACACACACACACACACACACACACGTACACACACGTACACACAAAGAAGGAGACTTGGCTTGCCTCCCCCAGAGTGTTTCCCGGTAGCTCAGAGCGGTTGAAGGGAACAAAGCCCAGCCATTGTATGTTGTGTGCACCTTGAGGACCCACAAGTCTGTGTGTTGCTGCAGAGTGAATATACACAGCCCACCCTTGGGCAAATGCTTTTCTAATTAGGCTTTACAGAGTATGGGTTTTGAAATGATGATATTTGTGTTACTGGTGTTGAAGCTGTCAAATAAGAGATTTAAAATTTTAAATAAAATTTGTGACGCAAAAATGATAATTCCCACACTAATCGGGAGTCATATGACAATTGCAATATCTCGCAATAATCGCAGTAGGATGTTTCCACCATATTGTGCAGCCCTACTTTTGTATTGTATTGTTGCTGTTGCTTTGAAGTTCCTACAGTATGTATAAAGCTTGCTGGTAAAGAAGACATGTTCCATGCTTTCAAGAGCATTACTGAGATGGAGATGCATTGTTTAATACAGCTGTCATTCCAAAATGCTCATGTCAGGGTACCACAATGAGGTTTTTTCAGTGACATATGGCTGTAACTAACTGATTATCCGATTTTCTCAATTAACTGATTAATCGTTTAGTCTATATAACAACACTTATTATATCCTAGAGCCCACCCCTAACCCGTTAACATGCTCATTTTATCCATCCAACAGTCCAAAACCTAAAGCTTTTTACCTATATCATGATATATGACAAGGAAAAGCATCATTTTAGAAGCTGGAAGCAGCAAATGTTTGGTGTCTTTGCTTGACGTAAGCAGAGTTGACAATGAATTGGTTAAACGGTCAGCTCTAAATCTGAAAATGTATTTAACTGTAAATGACCTACAGTACA